GGGAAGCTTATTATTATATTATGGTTTGAGACTTTTTTTTTGTAGATCAGGCTTGCCTTGAACTCACAGAGATCTGCCTGTCTCTGCCTCCTGACAGCTGTAATAAAAGGCATGCACCATCATCACCTGGCTAAGAGTTTTTAATAAAAATTTAAAAACTATTTTCTTGAGATGGGATCTTACTATGTGTATATGAATGTTTTGCCTGCATGTATGTCTGTGTACCACATGCATGCCTGGTGCTCTCAGAGGCTGGAGGAAGGCATCAAATGACCTGGAGGCTGGGAATAAAACCTGGATCTTTTGGAAGAGCATCTGAACATTCTTAACCATTGAACCATCTCTCCAGCCTCAATCCAATCACTTAAACACACACACACACACACACACACACACACACACACACACACACACTGAGTCCAATTTGTGCTGCTCATATATTCATGGGTATGAGGCCACATCTCTAAAGGAAACTGATACTCCTCCCTCCAGTAGCCACCAAATTCAATAGCTCCTCTGTTAGGGGTGGGAGCTCATGACCCCCTCCCAGTGTTGGCAGGCTTGATCTTGTGCAGGCAGCCACAGCTGTTGTGAATTCATGTGTAGCGGGATCTTGTTCCACTAATAGATTTGAGGTAATAGCCACACCTTAGGGTGTGGCTTTCATGTGTGCAGACATAACCCTTATAAGGAAGAGGAGGGCTTGCTCTCTTTCTTTTGGGTTGTGGGTGAAGCATCCTGAAGGGCAGATGCGTGCCCAAGAAGCATGCCCTCCAGGAGCATACTGAGGCAGTTATTTACCATCATTGTGTGAATGCTCCCCGAATAAATATGTTAATTAGTTATCTGGGTGTTCATGGGCTTCCTTTGACTCACCTTCATTCATGACTGCAGTAGTACAATAATGTCCAGAAGAGACTATTTCACTAGGGTCCTCTCTGACCTCTGGCTCATACAATTCTCACTTTTTTTTTTCCCTTCCTTCCTCAGTGGTCCTCGAGGTGTCACGTTTGTGGCTGAGCACTCCACAGACACTTCTCTACACTTTGGCCAACTGTGATTTTCTGCATTGACCACCATGTATCCACTAAAACAAACTTCTCTACTAGGGTCTGATACAAATTTAGAGGGCAGTTTGATACTATGTATTAGGTTTACTACTGTTAGCTCCCTAGTCCAGGAGTCTCAGCCAGGTTTACAGTACCAAGCATGTGTTTCCTCCTGTGGAGCATCTTTAAATCCAACCAGAAAGAAGTTGGTTACCCTCATAACATCCCTGACACTATTGCTGCCTCATTATTGTAGCTCAGCATTCTGAGCCTGGTAAGGCTGTTGATGGGTCCTCCAGCCTAAGCTGCCAACATTGCACTTTCCAGTCCTATGGGAGACGGCCACTTTCAGAGATGTACATGTACTTACAAAAGATCTATAACATAGCTTATTTTTTTTCTTAACAGAACCTTATTATATAGCCAGAAATGGCCTCCAACTTGTAATACTCCTGCAGCAGTCTCCTAAGAACTGAGATTACAGGCCTGAAATGAGGTTCAGCTACCATTTATTAACTGAGGGGATAAAAGCAAGTCAAGAAAAAGTATAGTCAAGCTGGGCATTGATTGGTGGTGCATGCCTTTAACTCCAGCACTCAGGAGGCAAAGGCAGGCAGATCTCTGAGTTTGAGGCCAGCCTGTCTACAGAGCAAGTTCCAGGACAGGTTCCAAAGGTACACAGAGAAAACCTATCTCAAAAAAAAAAAAAAAAAAAAAAAAAAAAAAAAGGTATTGTCAGGCTGTGGTGGCACATGCCTTTAATTCCAGCATTTTCGGGGCAGAGGCAAGCGATCTCTGTGAGTTTGAGGTGAGTGTGGTCTACAGAGTGAGTTCCAGGACAGCCTCCAAAGCTACAGAGAAACTGTCTGGAAAAACAAAAAGAAAGAAACAAGGGAAGGAGAGAGGGGGGAAAGAAAGGAAGGAAAGAAGGAAGGAAGGAAGAAAGGAGGAAGGGAAGGAAGAAGGAAGTTAGGGTTGGAAAGATGGCTCAGTGGAAAAGAACACTGGCTATTCTGCCAGAGGTGCTGAGTTCAATTCCCAGAAACCACATGTTGGCTCACAACCATCTATAATGAGGTCTGGTGCCCTCTTCTGGCGTCCAGGAATACATGCAGATAGATAGAGCACTCATTAAATAAATAAATAAATAAATAAATAAATAAATAAATTTAAAGCCCAGTGGTGCTGCTTATCTTTAATCCCAGCACTTGGGAGGCAGAAGCAGGCGGATCTCTGTGAGTTTGAGGCCAGCTTGGTTTACAAAGTGAGTTCCAGGACAGCCAGGACTGTGACAGAGAAATCCTGTCTCAAACATAAATTAAAAAAAAAAAAGGAAATAAGTATGTTTACCATGACCTCATGTACATAATGTTTGTATACAAGCATATATTAAACGGATACAAAACTGGACTATCAGAGTTAATCACATATTTTGTCTGATTTGGATCATTTACAAAGAGAATGCATGAACGCATTTTATCTAATTTTAAAAAAAGCTAAGGTCCAACTCTGTCGAAAAATACCAATTAGAAAACAGAGCAAAAACTGGGGATGGCAAGCTAAGTTTATAGCTCCAGCACTTGGGAGTGGATAAGGAAGAGTTTCAAGACTGTACTATAGGAGACAGTCTCTAGAACAAACGGACTGAACAAACAGCAGAAGTCAAAAAACAAAGCCGGTCACAAATGGACTTCGCTCAGGTGTGCGCGCTAGGGGGCAGAAGAGCTAAAGATCCACAAGGAGGCAGGAGAAATTAGCCAAGGGGGAGGGGGCAGTAGTGTAGGGCAATCTCAACTATCACCCCTTGGCCTCTAAAGCGAGGCAGGACAAGTCAGAGGTCATAGGTCCCAGCCCTCTGGAAGCCTAGGCAGACTGGAGCGTTTGGAGTAGGGTATGCCCTAATCCGAAAGAGTTTGCTTTTCTGAGCAATCTTTGACATTAATATCTTACTTGCGCCAAATGGTTAGAACCAACCAAATGGTTCTCTTTTCGGCCTTCTTTTGCAACACCACAGTGGGGAAATTGAGTCACTGGGTAAAGGGAGCCGAAGTCAACCGGCCTTCCAGAAAAGGGAAGGGGGAGGGTTCTCCAGGAAAACAAAGTGGGGTGGGTGGGGAGGCGGTTGGCTGGGCAGAAGCTGAACCAGACACATGGAGAAACACTGCCCAGGATCAAAGGAAATATGACATTTGAAAAGAATGTGCGCGTCTGCTTGTGCCGCTGAGCGGGGGGTATGGGGGAGCGGGGCCCGGGCTGATTTCCGGGTCTGTCGTCCATGGCTTCCCACCTCCGCCCATCCTCCTCTAGGGTGCAGGATAGCAGACGTTCTCGAGGTGCCCCTCGTGCTCCTTGACCGTGGGTCTCCAGCTCCGAGGTGAAGCGGGACGGGAATGTAACCTGAGAGGAACCGAAGGGAAGGAGGGGGGCAATCAAACCAGGCCGTCTCCCCGCTCGGCCTCGGAACATTCTTCCCTCCCGCCCGCCCGCCCGCCCGCCCGCCAGGCTTCTCCTCCCCGCCCCTCCCGCCTCGCGGCCCTGGGCTTGCAGCCGGGGCAGCGCCGCACGTCACCGGGGTCCCCCGGGGCTGGGGGGGTCCCCAGGCCGGGCTCCTGGGGGGACTGAGAGGAGGAGGGGCGCCGCCTCCGCCGCCAAGGAGCTGGGGCCCGTCAGGCCAGCCCCCCTTCCCTCTGCCCCGCAGAGCCTGTTTCTCATTAGAGTAATGGGCGCGGTCCCCGCCCGGCTCCCGAGTGTTTGTAAACGTCTGACCCGAGGGCCGGCGCTTAACCCTTTAGGTGCTGGCCTAAGGGAGCCTGAGGGATCCAGAGACTAGAGATCCGTGAGGCTTCTTAGGGAAGTTTGAAGCAAATGGTTAGTATGCAGGGAGAACGTGACTGCTCCCCTGCCTGCCCCGCAGCACCTGCAGTCCGAATCTAGAATCTCCGGTCCCACTTTCTCCTAACTGGGACTCTCTTTGTTTGCCCTTCCTAAAAGCTCCAGTCCTGGTCTTCCTCCGCTGCCCAGGTGACAGGTGTCCAGCCCTTGGGGCCCAAGTTTTCAGTTTGGGGCCCCTTCTAAAACTGGGCAAGAATTAGGAGAGCCGGGAGGGGAATGGCCTTGGATCAGAGAGGCATTCTAGTCTGCAGCTCTTGGGCGGAGGGAGCCGATTTCCTCCGCGGAGGCTAATTAGTGGCCTATCAAGGTGGCTAGGACAAGGGTATCGGCAAAGCCCGGCCTGGATCTACGCCCAGAAGGGCTGTGGGCCTTCAAAGGCTTCCTGGGGTTAGAAAGATCTGAGAGGCTTCCCGAATATCTGAAAGTTCCTCATCTTCAGGGAACGGGAGGAGTGTCCGGTGGAAGGTGATGGGTAAGGAGTGCAAAAGCTCCCTGAAGCCCAGCTAGAGAGGTCTCAGCGAGGGTGGAGGGGGAAGATCGGCCTCTTCTCTCGGACAGCTCAGAGCCTCTCTCAATCCCAGAACTCTGTTCTACTCAGACTTGGATTGAAAGTGCAGAAGCCGTGGCCTTTCTTGGGAGATGCTAGTTACACTTCTTCAGATCTTAAGGAAGGACGTACTGTGGGCCCGCTACCTGGGGGCCCCGAATGTGGCCTCTTCAAGGAGACTCGGAGTCCCGTCCCCCTCTCCCCCCAGCTGAGACTAAATAGGCTGAGGTTTGGGCTCCCAGTGAGAAGTGATTGTCACAAATGCGAGCCAAGAGGTACCATTAGGGTCCTGTAACGTTCGAAGGGAACACTTTCCAATTCAGTTTTTTCTTCCCCTTGGAGGGGGTGGACTGGAGAGATGACTGAGGGAGGGAGAGTGGGGGAGGACTAGGGGCGCGTGGTTTTCCCATCTCATCCCTGGAGGAGGGGCTGGAGCATCCCGGGTAGCCAATCAGGGACAGGCTGGGGGGGCCGCTTTGAAGAAGTTTAGGGGAAAAAAGTTTGGCAAAGTTTCTATAATAACGAGGGGGCGTCCGGAGGGAGGCGGCAGCGACAGAAGAGGGGGCGTCTCAGAGAAAGGGAGGGAGCCACCCGCGCGTGAAGCTACAGCAGCGTCCAGCGCCTCCCCTCCCACCCAGGCAGGACCTGGGGGCAACGACCGGATCCATGGGGGCTGCAAGCTGCGAGGATGAGGAGCTGGAATTTAAGCTGGTGTTCGGGGAGGAAAAGGAGGCTCCCTCGCTGGGCGCGGGGTGCCCTGGGGAAGGTTAGTGTGGGTCTTGGAAAGGGTCTTTTGGCCAGTGACTGAAGGGCCGGGGCCATCAGAGTCTGGACACTTTGGAGGCAGAGAGCCTGGGGTGGGGGTTGAATTGGATCAGAGGTTGAGCGAAGTTGAGGGACTACCAAGGCTGAGGAAGTGAGGCTGGGGGCCATGACACCACTTTTTCCTTTTTAGGTCGTGACTGGGGTGGGAGTGGGGGTGTTGTTGGCTACGCGCCGCCTCCCGGCTAGGCCGACTGTCTTTGAGATGGGGGGGGGGCGGAAGGGAACCTCGGTCCCCAAGAGCCCGGGGCGCCGGCTGGAAAGGGGAGGGTTGGCTGTGGAGTTTGAGGCTTTCCGACCTAGGCCTCATTCTGCAGACGTGAAGCCTGGGGCTGGGGGCTCTTTCGGGCAGCGCAGGGCACCCCTCCCCCTCCCCGTCTAGCCGCAATGAGAGTCAGATGGCAGGGATCGAGCCGGGGGCGGCGGCCGCCGCTCGCACGGAATCCGCGCTGCCCGCTGCCCCCCCCCCGTTGGCTGGGCCCCGCACGCATCACCCTTCGGCTGCACCCCCGCCCTCTTTTGGAGGGGCCGAGGGAGGAGCCACCTTCCCTCGTCATCACAGACATGCCCCCATCCTTCCCACCCCCAGGCCACTGTTGCGATGGTAACTGGGGTTTCTGCCAGCACCATTTGGGGGTTTGGGAACCGTTGCTAATTGGGTTCATGTGTGAGTTGCCCCCGGCCCAGCCCAGAGTCTGGGCAAACACACCTCCAGGCCCGGCTGTAGAACTCCCGCAGTTCAGAGTCCTCACCTTAAGTCCCACCTTCTCTGGTACCCTAGGTCCCAGGACCAGGGATTTAGAATATGGGGTTCTAGCATGCTTGTATCTCGTTTTCGTCTTCTGATATTCAACTTTACTTTTGTTCTGAGACTAGCAGACCCTCTGACTGAGCATATCAGGCTTTGTTTTGGGAGCTGACCATTCGAAGAACCTAGACACCTTACCAGCGTCTCTCTCCCTGTCTCCCTCTCCCCGCCCCCCCCCCCGCCCTTTATGACAGAGCTGGACTCAGAGGATGCTCCTTCATGCTGTCGTTTGGCTCTGGGGGAACCCCTTCCTTATGGTGCTGCCCCTATTGGTATTCCCCGACCCCCACCCCCTCGGCCAGGCATGCACTCACCACCACCCCGTCCTGCCCCTTCACCTGGCACCTGGGAGAGCCAGCCAGCTCGGTCGGTGAGGCTGGGGGGCCCAGGAGGGGGTGCGGGGGGTGCTGGGGGCGGTCGAATTCTTGAATGTCCCAGCATCCGGATCACCTCCATCTCTCCCACACCTGACCCACCAACCTCACTAGAGGACACGCCTGAAACCTGGGGGGACGGCTCTCCTAGAGATTACCCCCCATCAGAAGGCTTCGGGGGCTACCGAGAGGCAGGAGGCCAGGGCGGAGGTGCCTTCTTCAGCCCGAGCCCTGGCAGCAGCAGCCTGTCTTCGTGGAGCTTCTTCTCCGATGCCTCAGAGGAGGCCGCTCTTTATGCCGCATGCGACGAGGTGGAGTCTGAACTTAATGAAGCAGCTTCCCGCTTTGGCTTGAGCTCTCCACTGCCTTCGCCCCGGGCTTCTCCTAGGCCATGGACCCCGGAAGATCCGTGGAACCTGTACGGTCCAAACTCAGGAGGCCGAGCGCCAGAGGATAGCTGGTTACTCCTTAGTGCTCCTGGGCCCATCCCAGCCTCCCCAAGGCCTGCTTCACCCTGCGGCAAGAGGCGCTATTCCAGTTCAGGGACCCCATCTTCAGCCTCCCCTGCTCTGTCCCGCCGGGGCAGCCTTGGGGAAGAGGGTCCAGAGCCACCCCCACCACCACCATTGCCTCTGGTCAGGGACCCTAGTTCTCCAGGCCCTTTTGACTATGCGGGAGCTCCAACAAACGAGAGCATCCCTCAGAAAACCCGGAGGACTTCTAACGAGCAGGCAGTGGCATTGCCTCGGTCTGAGGAGCCTGTCTCTTGCAATGGGAAGCTGCCCTCCGGAACTGAGGAGGCTGTGGCTGCTCCAGCGGGTCTGCGGAAGGAGGTGGCTGGCATGGACTATCTAGCAGTACCTTCTCCTCTTGCTTGGTCCAAGGCTCGGATTGGGGGACACAGCCCCATCTTCAGGTGAGGGCCAGATCTGGCACCCGTCCCCCACCCCTGCTCTTCAACTCATCCGATGCAGGGACCAAGAAGGTCAAAGGATGGGTTTAAAGGCAGGTCCTAAATCTCGTAATAGTTTCGGTAACAGGACCCTAGGCACCTACTTAGTTTTAAGGCAATTTAGTTTAACCAAAAAAAAAAAAAAAAAAAAAAAAAAAAAAGCCAGCAAATTGACAGTGAGTGGGTTGAGCTGTAGATGGTTTCTTCCTGTGGACCTATTAGAAAAAGATTCTTCAGTATTCTAAAACAGGTAAAATGGAGTTTGTTTAGGATTTCTCACACTTCCTAATCAACCCTGGCACTAGCAGGCTGATCTTAGCCTCTGGCTGTTTGGACAAAACAGATAGAAGAGCCCTGTATTCCATTACAAGAAGCCCCCCCTCTAATTCTTAACTTCTAGGTCCATGGCTTAGGAATATCACTTCAAGTCTGAATAGTTACATGTATTTGCAAGTCTAAGAATTTATATTGAAACTTGCATTTCTATCCCTTCTGTTCTCTCAAAGAACCCTGCCCATTTCAATAATTCTAAACCTTGAGTTGTCAGGCTGAAAAGTTTCTAGAGGGAAGCCGGACCCTCTGGTATTCCCATAGGCCAATATTTCTCAACCTCGGTTGACTACTATTTTGGATTGAGCAATTTGTAGTGCAGGGCTGTACTGGACACTGCAATGGTTGAGTGTCCTCCCAAGCCTTTATTCATTAGACACTAGTAGCACCTTTTATATTAGTTATGGCAATTAAAAGATTGCCAAATATTGGGGTGGGGGAGGCAGGAAGTTACTAGTTGAGATTTACCAGCAGAGTATCTGTAAGCTCAATTCCAGAAAAGTATCCTTAGCCTTTGCAACTTTTCCTACTTAGCTCCATCTAGTAGGAAGGAGTTGGCCTGGTAGCAGAGTAGCAAGCCCTAGGTTCTACTGTAGGCTTCTGCCCTCAGTCACTTTATTTGTCTAATGCTTTTTCTGGTCTAAAGTGGCACTTGTGTGCTGTACCTGCCCTTCTAGGTCAGAGGATGAGTATTGCCTTTGGGTCCCTCTATTTCTTAGTAACACCACAAACCTTTGTCCAGAATGTGGGAGAAGGAAGTCTTGGGGTTATTGTCTTCTTCCATACCCCCATCTTCAAAGGGTTCCGTTCCCTATCACTTCTTCTGGAGTTTTGTTTTGGAGTTTTTGTAATTTACTTTTGCTGTGGTTTCTTATTGCTCCCATAACCACACTGCCTCCTCCCTCACAAACCCAGTGTGATCCCGATGGGTCTGAGGTTCCAGATGATCTCCTCTTCTACCCAGGACCTCTGCCCTACCTCCCCTGGACTGGCCTTTGCCCAGCCAGTATGAGCAGCTGGAGTTGAGGATTGAGGTACAGCCTAGAGCACACCACCGAGCCCACTATGAGACAGAGGGCAGCCGAGGAGCTGTCAAAGCTGCTCCTGGAGGTCACCCTGTGGTCAAGGTAAGGGGACAGAAGGCAGGGCCAACTTTATTTCTCTTCTCCCACCCTAGATTCCTGCAAATGGGCTTCAGCTGTACACAGAATTGTGGCACTGCCCTTTCCCACACTCTGTCTCAGCTGTGACCCTGCAGGCAGCCTAGGGGAGGGGCTGGAACTGGGAAAGGAAGAGTACACAGCAAGGACCCGGATATACTTTCTACTCTTCTTTTCTTTCTTTTACACTGAATCCTCCCCAGCTTATCCCATGGGACATCAGCCTCATGTCTACTTTGGAAAATGGTGACTTGCCAGATGTGGGGGAGGGTTTCTGCTGAGGCCAAAGGTCACTGGGAGTTAGGTTTTCTCTATATTGAGTTGGGCTAGTCTTTCTTGGAAGCTCTTCCTCCTTTGCCCAGCCCACTCTGAACCTTCCAAGAATAACACTGTGAACTTCAGGCCACATTTTCTCTACAACTGATGCCCAGTTTCCCATAGGGAATCCCTCACAGGATTTTCTTTCACCATTCCTATCCTTGGACAGGAAATCCAAGGATGGGTAAAGGGCAAATGGCACTGGGGCTTTCAAATAGGTGGCCTCTGTCTCCCTCTGTCAGCTCCTAGGCTACAGTGAGAAGCCACTGACTCTACAGATGTTCATTGGCACTGCAGATGAAAGGAGCCTGCGGCCGCATGCCTTCTACCAGGTGCACCGTATTACCGGCAAGATGGTGGCTACAGCCAGCTATGAAGCTGTAGTTAGTGGTACCAAAGTGTTGGAGATGACCTTGCTCCCAGAGAACAACATGGCTGCCAAGTAAGTCTCCAGCCAACTTTCCCTTAGCCTGCACGATTTAGGATCAGAGAGGCCCGCTTTCTCTTTTTCCCAGAAGAGCTAGACATTATCATTCCAAGTCAGTTTCCTTCTAGGCAAGTGTTTTGTGTAGCAAGTCTTTCTCTGTCCCTCTACCAGCTCCCAAATAACGACACAGAAACTTCTTATTGATGAAAGCTCAGCCTATAGCGTGGGCTTTTTCCTAACTAGCTCTTCTAACTTAAATTAACCCATTTGTATGAATCTACATTCTATCATGTGCCATTACCTCTCTTCCATCTTTCTCTTCCGGTTTACTCTGTTTCCTGGCACCTTGATTCCTCCTCCTCTTCCTTTCTCTCTGCCTGGAAATCCTACATATTCTCAGCAACATATCTTCACACAGTATACAAATATTCAACACTTCCCTCATTTTGTCTAAATAAAAAGGAAAGAGTTTAACTCTGACATAGCTGCAGCATTTACTGCTGACACTCAGTGAGAAGGAATTCCTTTCTCTGGGGCCTATTTGAGAATACAAAGCACCCAGTATATATTCTACATACAGCCAGATTCGTAGTAAAAAATATTCTGGAGTTGATATCTAGAATACTGATTGCTGTTTCTGTAACAAATGATAAAGGATCCCAGCAAGAAATATACAGTATAAGAAAGATAACCTTAAATTTGTATCAATATAAAAATCCATACCAATGTAAAATAATTGAGACTAGTGGTTGTTCAAAAGTAGACTCAGTAATCCACCCTTTTATCACATCGTTTCTATAATATATTCCCTGCTTTCCAGAGATACCAGAATCTAATCTCTGTTGTTCAGTTTTTTCCTGACCATGATCAACAACAACTTGTAACTAATCCCCCTAAATAATGATAAACATCCATAATCCACTGAATGACCAAAAACCATCAACCCCACCTCTTGGGAATATCAGTATCATGTTCTTTAGACTACTTCCTGTTTTCTGGGGGCAACAGCATCTTTGGGGGACCTTGAGAAAATTGTGATAATGGCCAAGTCCTAGGAGAGCTAGATGTATTATTTTTTGTTCAATCTCTATGTTATGGGAAAGTGTAGAGCTTATCTGAAGACTTAGCTGGATAGCCTGTGAAGATGGACTATCCTAGCAAGCAGCTTTGAAGTTGATCTGGATGTGGAATTTTGAAGAAACTGTAACAGGGGCACCTGAGAGGCTGGATCACCTGGGCTATTTGTCTTTATTGGTCCTTTTTTTCTGAAAATATACAAACTTTTTTCAAGGCAACACACACACACACACACACACACACACACACACACGTACGTGCGCACGCGTATGGAATTGTAGTATGTACAAGTCAGCTAAAAATGACTTTATTTTGTTCTATGTTTGAGCAAATAAAGGGCATTTGTGAACTTTATAAGTCCATAAAACCAAACCTATATCCATGCCATATGAAATGATGGCATGTAATAATAAGTCAAGAGGTCGCTGTAGTCAACAAGATTTATCATGTCTCATCCGGTCTCAGAGCTGTTCCCATAGTAGACAGATCAGCATGTATGTCCCTTTCCTTGTAGCCTTTCTTGTTTTTTTTGTTTATGTCTGTAGCCAAGATTTTCAGGAGGTCTCCCCCAATCATATTTGATCTTTATTAATTTTGAAGAGAACCATACCTTTTGCTTCCTGTGGAAAGAAAGACATAACTTCTTCCCCAACACAACATATTTTCTGACTTCTATTTTGAAGTTAAGACATTCTTAAAATATATATGTTGGTTTAATTTAGCAGTTTCTATAATCTAATGTCTCTCAGCAGCGATTTTTTTTGCTCATTAGCATTTAAAACATTCAAAGACAACAAAGTACCATACAGGATCCAGACACCCTGTGTATTTCCCATTTTTATGTGGTTTTTTTCTTTTATTTATTTCTTTTATTTATTACTTTACTCTCTCTTTAAAGACTTTATTATTTTTAAACTATTTTTTATGACTGCCTATACCCATTTTCTTTTTTGTCTTCTTCAGCATCTAAGCATATTTTTATGCATACTGTAACCTGTTCAGAGGATATTTTTGGGGGGTGAGGGCCTGGACCTGACTTTACTAAGCGCCTGTAGCCACACACTTGCAATATTTTCTGATGCATGAGCCACACCTTAAACTGCTAAGCAGCAGCTAGGCTCTCTGCTGTGAGGTTCCTCTTAGCACATGGCCTGGCTACTGGATACTGGCTCTGCCCCCTTAGGGTCAATGATATCGGAGCTGCTTGTTCAGAACTTTTCTTTCTTTTTTCTTTTTAGCTTTCTCAGGCCTTATGTGGACATACGAGGATCCACACTGGGTGTCACATATAGCATGCTTTCTTGTCAGACTGTCTTTGGACCACCAGCCTGCAAATAATGACCTGGAGACTTCTTAATAATTATGAAAGCTCAGCCTATTACTTAGGCTTGTTCCTAACTAGCTGTTTTAACTTAACCCATTTATATTAATCTACAGACTATCATGTGGTGTTACCTCTCTTCCCTCTTGTATCTCCTGGTGTTTCTTACCTGCCTCTATTCCTTCTCCTTCCTTTCTCTCTGCCTGGAAGTCCTGCCTATCTCTCCTGTCTAGCTATTGGCCATCCAACCCTTTTATTACACCAGTCACAGCAACAAATCTTCAGAGTGTATAAATACTCTGCAACAGTTTTGTACCATTGAGCTATATCCTCAACTCAACTTCCTCCTCCTTCCTAAAGTCCTGAGCATTGAACCTAGGATTTTATTTTTTATAATTTATTTATTTTATCTGCATTGGTATTTTGATTGTATGTATGTCTGTGTGAGGATGTCCAATCTTAGAGTTACAGACAGTTGTTAGCTGCCATGTGGGTGCTGAGAATTGAACCTGGGTCCTCTGGAAGAGCAGTCTGTGCTCTTAAGTGCTGAGCCCCAACCTAGTGCCTATAAGCTAGGCAACTGATCTGCTCCTAAGCTGCATCCCCAGCCACATTCTGGCCTTCATGTTTAAGAAAGTATTTTTCGAGGCTGGGGATCTTTCTGTGGAGGTCATCTCTAGATTAGGAAAATCCCCCCTGAGTACCCTTAGGCAGTCTTATGGCCTCAGACTGAGGGTGGGGGGCTTCCCCTCTGGACAATGCATCACTGTGTCTCAGCTTTGGCTAAGAAGGCTTACCGTCTCTCCTTTACCTTCAGCATTGACTGTGCTGGAATCCTGAAGCTTCGAAATTCAGATATTGAGCTCCGGAAGGGTGAGACGGACATCGGGCGCAAAAACACACGTGTGCGGCTGGTGTTCCGTGTACATGTGCCTCAGGGCGGCGGAAAGGTCGTCTCTGTGCAGGCAGCATCAGTGCCCATCGAGTGCTGTGAGCAAATAGGCCCTGGCCAGTTCTATGTGTCTTGCCCCTATTTTGTCTGTCTGTCACCCATTTCTTCTACATAGCATCCTGTGCCCTATGTGTCCTGGGTAACCCTATAGAGGACTCAGCTCTTGTTCTTCTATAACAAGGGAGAGGTGAAGGTAGTATTTTACTTTGCCCCTGCTACAGACTGTCTCAGGGATGGTCCAGATGAACCTGAACCTTTCTGCTCAGTCTCTGCCTCAGGAGTGGTCTTTACACAGTCTGTGTGGTTTCAAAGCTGCTGTTGGTTATCTTGTATTTGCCACTGGAAAGAGGGCTTCCCTAGAGCTCTAGTGATGGAGAGGGCTGCCCCTCCAGGTTTCTTTCTTATACTACTTTGCAGCCCAGCGCTCAGCCCAAGAGCTACCCCAGGTGGAGGCCTACAGTCCCAGTGCCTGCTCTGTGAGAGGAGGGGAGGAGCTAGTGCTGACTGGTTCCAACTTCCTGCCAGACTCTAAAGTGGTGTTCATTGAGAGGGGCCCTGGTGAGTACCCACTGGGGAGAGGAGAGGAGTAGAGCTTACGACCAGCAGGTGACACTTAGACGCTGTCACAAAACCACTACGACGAGCCTCAGTCTCGTTGTGTACAACCAGTTTCTCATGGATGCGACCACAATCTAAAACAGCAATAGTAGTGAGCAAATACAAGAAATACACATCCTGAGTATTAAAGAGGAAATGGCTTTGAGACGTTTACCCCTGTGAAAAAAGTGTGTGAAGAGGGGACTCACAACCATTGTAGATGCTCCTGGACCTGTCCTGAGTTGTGAGATAAAAGCTGTGATTATCACAGCCTATGTAGGAGTGGCTCCAACCACCAACTTGTGGGCGTTCCCTTCGTTCAACCCTTCTCACTGATGACCCAGCCTGAGACCCACATTTAGCACCCTGAGGTCCACATCATTTGCCTTGGTCTGGTGCCTCCCTTCAAGATGGGACCATTGCTACCCCACTGTCTGTCCTGCTGGCATCATGGGAGGCGATGTCTGAGTCAGTAGTGGGGAGGGCTCCAGGGCTAACACTAACTCTCCCTTAGTCCTTAGGGGGCGTTTTAAAACCTGTCTTTTTCATTGGGTAAACATCTGGTATAGTCTGTGCCAGACCTGCTAAGGATCTTTTTAATCTGATGTTGATTCCAGTGGGAGGGGCAAGGGCAGGGGCCTGGGGCAGGGAGTGGGCCCTAGAGCTAGGCTGCAGCTCTTTCTCCTGTACAGATGGAAAACTGCAGTGGGAGGAGGAGGCTGCGGTGAACCGGCTGCAGAGCAACGAGGTACAACAGTCCCTGGGATACTCAACCTGGTTGTGGGGTGAGGGGTGGAAGAAGTAAGAAAGTTCTCAAGAGGGCCCCTTAGAGGCAGGAGGATCTCTGTGAGTTCAAGGCCACCCTGGTCTACAGAGAGAGAGAGAGTTACAGGACAGCCAGAGTTACAAAGAGAGATCCTGTCTCCAAACAAAACAAAACAAAACAAAACAAAACAAAACAAAACAAAACAAGGTCTTTGCCTGGGCTGTGGTGGCAGGCATCTTTTATCCTAGCACTCCAGAGGCAGAGATAGCCAGATCTCTGAGTTCAAGGCTAGCCTGGTCTACAAAATGAGTTTAGTCCTGAAAAACAAGAAGGAAGGAAGGAAGGAGGGAACGAAGGAAGGAAGGAAGAAAAAGAGGGCCCCCTTAACTTATGGGTTTGGACTCTAGAGTAACTTTTTCTGGCCTGGAGGGCCTAGTTGCTGTAGTAGAGATCTTTATCTCCAGGGGACCAAGTTTGCTCTTTAGCCATAAAACTGGAAGATAAGGGTTAGTCGGGTCCATGGAAGGGCTGGGCTGATGTAAGATCTTCAAGGACTCGCGTCTCATCCACTGTTCTCACTAGGTGACACCTGTGTCTCATCCTCCATTCTCACTAGGTCACACTGACTCTGACCATTCCCGAGTACAGTAATAAGCGGATATCCCGGCCAGTCCAGGTCTACTTTTACGTCTCCAACGGGAGGAGGAAGCGCAGTCCTACCCAAAGTTTCAAGTTCCTACCTGGTGCGCTCTAAGACTGCCTGTGGTGGGGGCAGAGGGAGACCCCAGTGTGAGGGGATAAGGGGTGGACGAATCCTTGGAAGGGAAGGAGGTTGGAAGGTGTGTACTGGTGGATCTGCCCGGACCTCACCAGCCTCCTGCCTCCTTATCTTCCCAGTGATCTTCAAGGAGGAGCCCTTACCAGACTCATCTCTCCGGGGCTTCCCTTCCACATCCGGTCCCCCCTTTGGCACTGACATGGACTTCTCACCACCCAGACCCCCTTACCCCTCCTATCCCCATGAAGACCCTGCTTATGAAACTCCTTATCTGTCAGAAAGCTTTGGTTATAGCTCACCCACTCTGTACCCCCAGACGGGGCCCCCACCATCCTACAGATCAGGCTTGCGGATGTTCCCTGAGACTGGAGGCACCACAGGTTGTGCCCGCCCACCCGCGGTCTCCTTCCTGCCCCGCCCCTATCCTGGTGATCCATATGGAGGACAGGGCTCCTCTTTTGCCCTGGGGCTTCCATTCTCCCCTCCGGCCCCCTTTAGGCCTCCATTACCTTCCTCCCCACCACTTGAAGACCCCTTCAATCCCCAGAATGCTGTCCACCCCCTACCTGCTGAGGGCTACAATGAGGTGGGGCCAGGTTATACCCCTGGGGAGGGGGCTTCGGAGCAGGAGAAATCCAGGGGTGGCTACAGCAGCGGCTTCAGAGACAATGTACCTATCCAGGGTATCACCCTGGAGGAAGGTGGGTGTGGGACTGGGGGCTGTGAGTGTGAGTGAGTGCAAGAGATCGATTTGCCTGTATGCGAGGCCCTGGGGCTGTACTGCTCAGAGTCTGGGCATCCTTAGTGTCCCAGGGCAGTCAAAAGAGCAAGTGTGTGTGTGTGTGTGTGTGTGTGTGTGTGTGTGTGTGTGTGTGTGTGTGTGTGTGTGTGTGTGTGTGTGTGTGTGTGTGTGTGTGTGTGTGTGTGTGTGTGTGTGTGTGTGTGTGTGTGTGTGTGTGTGTGTGTGTGTGTGTGTGTGTGTGTGTGTGTGTGTACCTGAATTCAGCACCTTAATTCTGAAGGGCACATGGAGTATCTTCCAGCTTTTTTTGTTTTGTTTTGTTTCTGCCCTCTATCCTAATCATAAAATTCCAGCCATAGCAGTATTTCAAGGCCATTCCATCTAGTTTTCTGACTGGTAGATTTAAGCATTGAGTTTCAGGGAGGGACAGTGGCTTGTGGAAGGTTCAGCTGAGTATTTCCCCTTGCCTTATCTTTCCCTGGTAACTATTGTGTGTGCGCTTCAGTGAAGAAGACCTTCCTGTCTTGTCTCTTCTTTGTCCAATTGACACGTCTGACCCTGCTGCCATTGGTATAGGCCAAGCTGGCAGGAGAGTGTTGTGATGCAGGGCTGGGAAACCACATGGATGGAGTTGCACAAAATTTAGTTAGGAGCAGATGTTGGGAGGTGTTAGGGAAACTGAGGCCTGGCAAAAGAGGGATCCAAATGTGTCCTAGCTGGAGGTCTGCCTGGAACTGGGGGGATCCCTGAAAAGGGAACAGGCTTGCCTGAGCCCTATCTTTCAACTGCCCCTCCTTTACAGTGAGTGAGATCATTGGCCGAGACCTGAGTGGCTTCCCTGATCGTCCTGGAGAAGAGCCTCCTGCCTGAACCACATGTGGTGGCTCCAGAAGCCTGGGGCCAACTCGAGACTCTCTTTGCTCAGCTTCTATCTTCCTGTCTCCTCTCCCTCTCCCAGCTAAGGTGTGGCCCCCAGGCTTGGTGCTGCCTTGAGAGGGAGTGAGAATGTGGAGGATAGGGCATGAGGGTGGAGACTGAGGCTGGATGCCAGAACTGACCGGGATGAAGATGGTATCCAGGCTGTACAGGCTGTGATATGGGCAGGCTGAACAGGTTGATGGGTAATAAACTGTTCACTGACCAGTACTTCAGCCTCCAGAGCTCTTTGGAGAAAGTGGTGATGCAAGCTTACTCCAGCTCTGGCCCAAGGAGGCTGAAAAGTTGGGAAGAGATTGGGCATGGCTTGGAACAGTGAATCCAAAGGGTTTCCCTGATGGAGAGGGTCAGGGTACACAGAGGGCTCCTGATGGAGGGGGTCAGGGCACACAGAGGGCTCCTGATGGAGGAGATGAGGGCATACAGAGGGCTCCTGATGGAGGGGGCCAGGGCACACAGAGGGCTCCTGATGGAGGGGGCCAGGGCACACAGAGGGCTCCTGATGGAGGAGATGAGGGCATACAGAGGGCTCCTGTGGCTCCCTGGCTGGAGCTGAGGTTGGGAGTCAGGATCTGCATAGGCTTCTTTAATTTGTACTCCTTGAAGGTTCAGGTTCCTTAGCTTTGGGATGAGGCCTAGGAATTTTTGTGTTCCCAGGTCCCTGTGTCTTGCCACCACCCAGACAGTCTGGTTTATAGTCAAGGTGGGAAAAGGCCAGTCTAGTTTTTCACTGTTTTAGAGAACGAGGAATCTGAGGTCCAAAGAGAGAAACAGGTTTGCTTGAAATCACATAGCTGCACAACAGCATGCTGAACATTGCTGGATTCCTGTCCCCATCGCACAACTGGATAACATGCTAACTTAGAAAATACAGGCCCCCAAGTCTCGCTCTTTGAGGTGAGGGAGGGGATGAGGAAGAGTTGGCATGGCCTACCCAGGGGGTCTCCCAGCCTTGAAGATTGTGAAGACAGTCTGGAAATATTTGGACTTCAGTAGTAGATGGCAGGAAGCCTAGCAACTTTCCTAACAGCTCCGAATTCCTGGGGCTCAAGACATGCATGAGCTCCAGGCTTATCTTGCAGATATGCCCATGTTGACCTTCTGCATAGGGTACATCCATTGTCATTAGTAGATCAAGGCAGGAAGCCTGGTCTGTTCCCTGTCTTGATGGTCTCTGAGACCAAGGTGGGGAGAGACAGACTATATATGTTTACCTAGAGCCTGGTACATAGGATAGGCATGGGGCACAGCTTGATGGATTCCACTCACCTTGAGAGGGTACACTCAAGGCATTCAGGAAGCCAGTCCTTGGAAATCTTGCCTGGCTTCAAGGCTGTTTGAGTCTCTGCATGCCCACTGACTCCAAACAGCTCCAAGAAGTCCCAGAAAAGCCATGGAAAATGGCTCAGGACTAGAAGATTGAAGAACACAAGTGCCCTCTTCCCTCTGCCATTGCTGCTTCACAATAAGTTTACTTAACCACATACAGTTTGTCTCCTAGAACATGAGTTGCTGCAAACCATATTGACATCAGCTGGTTAGCCCACCAGACCATAGCAGGGTTTCCAAGACCCCCTTCCAACCTGAATCCAGTTTCATTACCCTATAATTTTTATGTTGGAGGGGACCGTGGGGGCACAGGAGTTACTTCTAGCATTGCTCAGTTCCTCCCTCCCCCCACCTCTTATGGAATGGGTTAGTCTCCAGGTGAATGAAGGACTGTTGTGATAGGGATTTGTTCTCGTGTATGGGTTACTCTTCTGTTGGTGTGAGGAAACACTATGGCCAAAAGCAGCTTAGAAGAAATAACTTATTATGGCTTATGGTTTCAGAGGGCTGGATGTCCGTGGGGAAGGTGTGGCAGCAGAACCAGGATGCTGAGAGGTCACATCTTAGGCATGCACAAAAAGCAGAGAAAGCATAAAGTAGGGCAAGGCTATAAAATAAAAAAGCCTGGCCCCAAGGATGAACTTTGTCTAGCAAGGCTCTCCTTCCAAAGGTTTCATAATTTCCCCAAAGAGTACCCTCAAGAGGAGACCAAATGTTCAAATGTCCCCCATAGGGGACATTTCTCATTCCAGTCACCACATATCTTCTAGAGAAGGTCGCTTTACTTCCTTCAGGGATCCTAATGCTCAGGCACTGCCTGTTGTTCACTGAGCAGCTGAGTGTCAGTCTGGAGACTCTTGTCCCAATGGGAGTAAGAATGAGTTTGTTCTGAGACAAGGTCCCAGGATGCCCTGAATGACATTTTCCACTATGGAAGGGGTTATCTGATGTTAAAGTCACATGTAAAAGAAAGTTATAAATCACTGTATTTACATGGGTAGGTACATCAATCAGGTAGGTGGGTTTTGGCAGAGCCGGAACATTTCTGTTGTAGATTATACAATTCTTAGTTTTCGGACTGGTGAACCCTGGTGGTCAGCTACATTGGACAATACATTTCAAGAACATTGTTAGGTCTGGTACAGAGATTTAAACCATCTATGAAGGGGACTAAAGATAGCCCAAGATAATTTTGGCTCCTGGTCAGCAGCGCTCCATCTCTCTACATCATGATGTTCTGATTATCCCAAGGATCTTTAACACAGATGAGGTTTCTTTGGAGAACAACTCAAGGATGACCCCCAAGTGTATCCTGGATCCCTGGTGCTGTAGCAGCTGCTCTGGGGACTGCTCTGTAGAGGCTGCTCTTGCTGACCCTCCTGTGGCTGCAACTCTGGGCCTTCATGGTACTCGGGGAGAAGCATACTGGGCTGCCTTCCAGTTGAGTTTTTGGCTGTGCTGCTTGGAGCCAGTTCTGTGAGGTCTGAGGCCTTTCTGAGTTGTGATGGAGAAAAAGGTCACACAGAAGTGTCATGTCACAACATCTTAGAAATTGCAGGTACAAAGTGTGCAAAGGCTTGATTGCTTCTTTAGTACCCATGTTCCCCAAAAACTTCTGCTGTGAAAACTCAGTGTTATGCAGTGGGGACACAAGGGTCAGTGTTGTCTTAGGTCTTGAGTTTGAATGTCCAGTGACATCTCTAGAGGGAAGACCTTTCTGCCTAAAGATTAGGGTGAGGTGGGTGACAGAAGCTGAGAGGCAGAGTTGGTAGGACTGCTGTGGAAATATGGAGAGCTGAGACCACGGGCAAGTTTGAGGAGTATTTTACTGAGGAGATGTTTTTAGGCTGGCTCCTGAAGGAATAATGAAGGTTTCTGGGTAAACAAGCTAGAGATGTGAGAGAGGGGTGTGCCAGGTTAATGTGTATGATGTCAAACCCTGATTGGTGGACACATCTATGATATCGCACATGGGAGGGGAAGGCAGGAGAATCAGGAGTTCAAGGCCACACTTGGTTACATATGGGGTTTGAAGCCAGCTGGAGCTACATGGAACACTTCCTCAGAACAGACTGACAGACTAACAATCCTGGAAGTCAGATCTGAATGGGTAGAAAGGAGTGAAACCCAAATTACTTTAAATGACCAGATGAGGAGCATTTTGTGGTAAGAGAGAGACATTCATTTGGTCAGAGGATATATCTGTGTGTGTATGTGTATATGTATGTGTGTACGTGCGTGTGCGCATGTATGCGTGCGTGCGTGCGTGCGTGTGTGTGTGTGTGTGTGTGTGTGTGTGTGTGTGTGTGTGATATTTAAGAGTTAGAACCCATGCGAAGAGACGGTGCCAAGAAGAGCAGGAAGAAGAGCTTTGCAGTGGTTGAGATCAGGACAACCCCATCTCTGCCTCTACTCAACTAAACAGGATGAAGTAAGGTTGGGGTCAGACAACAGAAAAGGTGGAAGCTCCACCTCAGCCACTAATGAACCATGTGACCTTCATGTCACTAGACTGACTAGGCTCTAGCAACATCTTTTTTTTTAAACATTTATTGATCTCTTGCTGTATACTAACCTTTGGATTAGAACAAGGAGCAAGAAAAAAGCATCTCCTGGATTTTAAAAGTGTAACAGGCAGTTAGAGGCTTTGGAAACTCATTGAAATGGCAACCAACCTGCCTTCTGCTACTTGTATGGAGTGATGGGTGGCACATGACTACACTGTGAGATAGCTCACTGGGTCCATGTCTTGTAGGGGCCACTGTTCCAGACATTGGAAAGAAAATTTATTCCTAATGCTGTCACCCTGAGCCAAGGAGTATCTAGGGTCAAAACTACAGATGCAGACATTGGGTAGAGTTGGAGGAAATAGCTATTATTGCTCTCTCAGATGGATGCTAGGGGATCTGGTAAGGCTTGAGCCTCTACCATAGTGAGGCAGGATCTGGAGAGGGCTGGAGGCCAGGGGCCAATGTTGGGTAAAGTGCCCCAGGTGGGTGCTTCTCTTCCCAGACTGCCCCAGAGATTAACATCTGGAAGTGCTGGCCAGGTGACAGCAGACAAAGCAAAAGAGTGGAGGAGTGGAGGCGAGGCTGGCAGGAGGGAGGGGCTTGTGAGAATGTCACACCTGGTGTTCTCCTTTGCCTTTTCTCAGAGCCCCCCTTAACCCACCCCACAGACATATACAGAGAGACTGGCTCATCCTCCTCAGAATTATTAGTCATTTGACCCTTGACAATCATTGTGTTGGTTTGGATAAAGACAGCCCACATGGGCTTACACATTTGAATGCTTAGGATTTAAAGGGTAGGAGGTGTGGCCTTGTTGGAGGAAGTGCATCACTGGGGCTGGGCTTTGAGGTTTCAGAAGCTCAAGCCAAGCCCAGAGCTCTCTCTCTCTCAGCCTAGGGATCAGGATGTAGCTCCCAGCTTCTGCTCCTGTACCTGCCTGCATGCTGTCATGGTGACAATGGCTGATCATGCTCTCCACCATGATGATAATGGGCTAAACCTCTGAAACTGTAAGCAAGCCTCCAATTAATTTTTTTTTATTTTGCTTGCTTGCTTGCTTTTCTTCTCTTTCTCCCTCCCTCCCTCCCTCCCTCCCTCCCTCCCTCTCTCTCTCTCTCTCTCTCTCTCTCTCTCTCTCTCTCTCTCCTTCTCTCTCTTTTGAGACAAGGTTTCTCTATGTAACAGTCCCGACTGTCCTGGAACTCGCTTGTAGACCAGGCTGGTCTCTGGCCTTGAACTCACAGAGATCTGTCTGTCTCTGCCTCCCGAGTGCTGGGATTAAAAATGAGTGCACTACTACCATCTGGCTGAAGTCTCATTTGGATTTTACGACATCCCTCTCAGGGTTGTGTATGTGACAGCCACAGCC